GTCTGTCAGCATGAGAATTGTCCCGAGGATTCCTGTGTAGACCACCCGATCACAGATATGTTGTATTGGGTGTGGGAAGATTTGGGTTTTAGTTTTTACTGGAGAGAGATGGGGAGACTACTGGCTGTATCTTGTGATCCTTTGGAAAGGGAACAGGGTAGCTTCCAGCTTCCCTGAGGACAGGGCGTAGAAGCGGGATGCCAGCGACTAACTGTGCCGTGGTGTGCATATGTCTGAGATACTCACTGGTAGTCGAGGGAGGTACGAGAACACTTCAAAGGAGGAAAATAAGGTATGAAACAGTTAGATGGTGGCAAAAGTGTTCAAAGTGTGAAACAAGTATTCTGTTTAGAATGGGGTGGAGAGGGAGAGAGGACAGATGAAGCCAACAGGGACCATGCAAGTCTGTGGAGCAGACAGAAAGATAGACGACAGCCCGCGAGGTGTATGTTGATCGATCTTTGATGAAAATTTTGTCTGGTGTCAGGGACGAGATCGAAAGTGTCAAGATTGAAACTGGAAGTTTCTGGTAGCATTGCCTGAGCTAGATGTAGGAGGGAAGGGCACAACTGAGGCCTGTCTGATGATGGACAGCATTCCTGGGATGGTGGGAGTTCGTTTATTTCAGTTTTTACGCACTTATATGTGCATGTGTGAGTGGGCACATATGCATATATGTACATGCATGGGAGGCCAGAGGACAAGCTCAGGTGGCCTTCCTCAGGAGTCATCATCTTGTTACTTGAGGCAGGGTATGGTCCTTGGTGTTATTCCATTGGGACACTTTAAGAACTAACCACGCCCATCCCAGCCACTTTTGACCCCTCCTCCCGCCACCATCTTCTCTCTCTTCCTCTCTCTCTGTGTGTGGGTGTGGATGTGTGCATATGCGTGTGTGTGTTTGTTTTGTCTCGTATGTACGTGTGTCTTTGTTTTCTCTCCTTTAAGCAATAAATGTCTCCCTCTTCTTTAAATAATACTATGTCCTATGAGCCTTTTATCTGCCGTAACCGCCCGCCTGACTCCCCGGCCGCATGGCGCTGCAGGGACTCATGGCCATCCTTGCCGGACTCTGCGAGCCGTGGGCCATTCCATCATCATATTCTTTTTAAAAGAACAATACTTGGCAGGCTGGACAATGAAACCTAGGGATGCCCCTGTCTCTGCTTCACCAGCACTGGGATTACAGGGGTGTGCTGCTGTGCCTGCTGATCTTTTATTGCAGTTCTGGGGCTCAAACTCAGGTCTCTGTGCTTGCATGGCAACCACTCTAATAACAAGTTATCTCCCCAGCCCAATATCGCTTTTTATACAATTGATCCTCTTCTCTCATAATCTCCATGAGGGCACAAATGCAATCTCCTTTCCATTGACTGTGTGTTCCTTTTGTGAACACCAGAACCTAGAAAAGATCAGGACTTAGGTGCCCAGTGTGTGCCTGGTGAATGAAGCCGTATTTTCTTGTTCCCATGCTCAAAATATCTCAATACTCATAAGATATATTTGTCAGAAGTCAGCAGACTTTTCACAGGGCAGAGAAATCAAAACCAAATAATATGTTCTGGGTTTCTTTTAGGAAAGCAAAGCCTAACTCTAACATAGTTAAAACTATGTTGAACTAAAACTAAACTCTGGTACCAGTCATCCACCCTGCCCCACTGCATCCTACAGTCTGGGAAATGTGCTGACTTTGTATTCCTGTGTAAGCTGCCCTCAATCCAACACCCCTACTTACCCAGTCAGCTAACCACATGCCTTGCAATTCCCCTGCACTGATGTGTGGTGTATGCCCTGCTTATTGTATAGCATATGGCAGATGCTCAATGAGCATGTGTTGGCTCAGCATCTGAATCACCGCAGCCTAAAAGATACAAAGGACTTCTGTCAGGCTTTTGTTGATGTGGAATGGCCTTCTCTATATGTGTTGCTTTTATTGGATAATGAATAAAGCTGCTTTGGCCTAAGGCAGGGCAGAATATAGCCATGCTAGAAGGTATATATGGAGAGAGGGGGGGTAGGTGGAGTCAAGGAGATGTCATGTAGCTGAAGAAGAACCCAGACCCTTTTTGTTAAGGCACGCCTCATAGTGATACACAGATTAATAGAAATAGGTTGCTTTAAGATGTAAGAGCTTGCTAGAAATATGCCTGAGCCATTGGCCGAACAATATTGTAATTGATACAGTTTCTGTGTGATATTGGGGCTGGGGAGGGCAGGAAACAAATGTGCAGTCTCCGTTTACATGTCTCTCATTGCAAGGTGGTCAAGGCAGGTCAAAGCCTCCTTTATTACATGTGAAGATAAAGGCTCAATCATTGGTTCATAACTTGGTTGTACATTCCATTTGAAAAAAAAAGAAAGAGGAACTAGTGACTTACTAAGCATGTGTCTGAGATTCCTGCTGGTACTCATAGGCATCACATCTGAAGGCCTCAATCAATGCTTCTTAAACTCTAGTGGGTATGTGTATGTGAGTCATGGAGGCCTTGCGTGAATGATTCACAGCAGATGAAGTCCTGAGTGAGTGTATTATTGACTTGGACAAGGCCATGTTAAGAACTCTGTGCCTCAGACCAGTACGGATCAGACTTGAAGTTGCCAAAGACTTCCTGTGAACTGAGTGCAAGTGTTGGGAGTGTGTGACAGTATGCATGTTTACAAGTGATTGAGCAGTGTGTACAAAGATTAGCAACTAAATCTTCCTCCTCAGAAATGACTGGAGCCCAAGACTGCTCTCCTGCAGACCCTCTACTGAGATTAGCTAACCCCTCTTTGTCTTTGCTGTACTTATTGAAAGCTCTGAGGTTCTGGTTTGTTGCACAGTTGATAAGCCTCCATCAGTGCTTTTCTGTCCCTAGGTCTCTGACTGTCCTTTCTTCACTCCTTCAACACCCCGGCCTGCTCCTAAGACCTCATCATGCAGGATGCAGTGCATACTAACAGCCCAGTGATCTTAATAAGAAATACAAATCCAGATTCAAACGACCTGGGAAGAGACCATAGAGCTGTCTCTACTCACAAGCTCAAGAGCAAAACTGAAGCAGCTGGTTCAGTTTCCAGTTTCCACAGCAGACCTGGGTACCCTGGGTATGAGCCAGAGGAGAGAGTAGCCTGTTGCAAGCCAAGTGCAAGTCATGGCTACATGTTTGGTAGGACAGTACATGCGTTATGCCGTGGGCTTGGAAGGTATAATTGTGACTATGGTTTATTGGTGGGTATCCTTTCTTCATTTCACAAACACATCTCTTTAGGATAGTGCGGCTCATTGGAGTCACTAGACCTCTGCTACTTAGAGGCAATTGCACGCCACTTCCTCAGCCATCCTAGCAAGTCCTCCCACTTCTTTAGCATTTATGACATCAGCATGACAGGGCTTGTTCTTAGTACACAAGCCATGAACTGTGTTTATATTCACCACTCCATCTAGGGTTCATCAGGGTCCATCAGCCAAAGTCATCCAAGGAAGAAAGACATCCCTTAGCTCAGTCCTTCAAACACACTTACTAACATTGTCAGACTGGAGCCTGGGGAGATGGCTCAGTGGGTACAAGCGCTTGCTCTAGAAGCATGAGGGCCTAGGTTCAAATCCTGGCACCCATATAAAAATCTGGATATGGCTTTCTGTATCTGCAATCTTGGTATTGTAGGGGTGGAGACAGGCGGACTGCTGCAGCTCACTGGCTGCACACTTTGCTTTTGGTTCAGTAAGACCCTGTCTCAGAGGGGTCAGGCGGAGTGATAGAGCAGGATGCCCAGCATCCTCCTTTATTGGCTTTCACATTCATGCACGAAGCATACACACAGAGAAACAGCACATACACACTTGTACAAGCATGTGCACAAATAAATCAATAAAAACATAAAATATTAGCAGCCCAACCAGATAGCCTAAGGGTACATGATATATTTGGCATGCATATCCCTCTACTACCATAAAATACATTTTTCCTTGTTTATTTATTTATTTATTCATTTATTTATTTATTTATTTATTTATTTATTTGTTAGACTTTCCACTTCCTCCCCTCCTCCCAACACCCTCCCGCTCCCCCCACTTCCTCTCCTCCTCCCTCTCTAGTCCTAAGAGCAGTCAGGGTTTCCAGCCCTGTGGGAAGTCCAAGTTCTTCCCCCCTCCCTCCAGGTCCAGGAAGGCGAGCATCCAAACAGACCAGGATCCCCAAAAGCCAGTACATGCAGACGAAACAAGACCCAGTGCCATTGTCAATTGCTTTTCAGTCAGCCCCCATGTCAGCCACATTCAGAGAATCCAGTTTGATCACATGCTCATTCAGTCCCAGTCCAGCTGGCCTTGGTGAGCTCTCATTTGATCAGTCCCCTTGTATCAGTGGGTGAACGCACCCTTCGTGGTCCTGACTTCCTTTTTCATGTTCTCCCTCCTTCTGCTCTTCATTTGGACCTTGGGGGCTTGGAGCACTGAACTGAGCCCCCAAGGTCCAAATGAAGAGCAGAAGGAGGGAGAACATGAAAAAGGAAGTCATAAAATACATTTTAAAAATAGTTGATGGTTTACCCATGGTTACCACTGATTTAGGAAATAGAGCGCTTAGTCTTTTGTTGTCTCCTTTGTAAAACTGGAGTTATAACTGCAGCCCGTCATGGTGCAGATAAAAATGGCAGGATGGGGTCAGTAAGATAGTTCACTCCAAGTTTGATGACATGAGTTCAATCCCAGGGACCAATGTGATAGAAGGAGAGAACCAACTGCCTACTAGAAACTGTCCTCTGACCTCCACATTCAGGAATGCAGACTTTATACACACACATACATGCACGCATGCATGCACATGCACACTCTTGCCCACACACAGGTATAGTTTTTAAAAAGGCACACAGATATCAAGCATTTTGCACAGTGACTCTTCGTAGGAAGTTATCCATGCAGAGATGCCAAGAACCAACCCAGAAAAAGACAACGCATGGAGTCATGAGTGTGCTCTTTGTGTTTGGCTTTTTTTAGTCCGGTCTGATAAGGACACGAGACAATGAATTCCTCATCTCACCGCTACCTCAGCTGCTGGCCCAGGAACACAACTACAGCTCGCCTGCAGGCCACCATCCTCACGTCCTGTACAAAAGGACAGCAGAGAAGAGGGTCCAGCGGTACCAAGACTACCCTGGCTCCCGCCGGACTTATCCTGGTCACTCCCCAAGTCACCCTCCCCCCGCTTCCCAGAGCCAAGAGACAGAGTACCGCCATCGAAGGTGGCAAAAGCAGCATTTTTGTGGACGACGCAAGAAATGTATGTAAGGAGACTTTCCTTGTCTGTTCTGAAGAGGCCCTCGCTGGGTAGCCTTGGGGGCAGCTGGGTTTGGCAGGTCAGTGAGGCTGTATTGAGTTTGTTCTCAGATGTTGCCTTATCACAGGACTGGTGAACCCCGTGCTGAAGGAGCAACCCTCCTCGGTTCAGTTAGGAAAGATGGAGATATGGGTCCCTTTGGGCCTCTTTAGCATCTCCTATTTTTAACCAAAGGTCCTGATCTTATCTTAGTTTCTGTGGTCTTAGGGAAAATGTTCAGCTTTCTATAGTGGGAGGAGGGGAGCAGAGATAAATGCACAACCGAGCATTCCTTTGAGAGACACAAGAGACTTCTCAAGAAACCTCTCAGGAAGATTGGGTCCTGATGGAGAGTTGACAGACAGCCGGGGAACTCTTGGGCATGCCCTGTGACCCAGTGGTAGAAACCTAGAAGACCGGCACTTAGAAGGCTGAGGCAGGAGAATTATGTGGTTGACCTGTGTAATGAGCTCCTGTTCTCATTACCTCTGCAACAAAAACCGTTCTGCTTCCCTCTCCCCCAGTGCTGGGGTCAAGCCTGACCTATGCACAGTAAAGCTCTGAACCAGCCACACCATATTTTTTTGTCTCTTTAGCTCCTTTCTAGACTAGCCATGCACGGTAGATAAGCACCAAATGCAAGTTTGCATTTTCTAACAACTATGTTCAAACCTAATTTAAGGCATACATGGTGATTGTATGCTTGTAATTACAGCCCTCAGGAGCTGAAGGCAAGAGAATCAGGAGTTCAAAACCATCCTTGTCTACATAGGGGATTCCAGCCTAGTCTGGGCTGCATGAGATTCTGCCATTAAAAAAAAAAAATCAAAAGTAAAAACTGTGAGATGACTTGGTGTAATGAGGCACTTGTTCCACGGGCACGAGAGGCAGAGTTCAGATCCCCAGCACCCATGTGAATGCTGGCTTCCCCGCCCCACAAATGCCCTGTAATCTCTGCACACTAGAAAGGTAGAAACGAGATCTGATGGACAAACTGCAACTAGACTGAATTGACAAGCTCCGGGTTCAACTGAGAGACCCTGCCTCAAAGGTAGAGATTGATGGAGGAAGACACCCATTGTCAACCTCTGGCCTCCACATGCGTGTACACGCACGCATGCGCACGTGTACACACACACACACACACACGCACACACACACACACACACACACACTCATATATCTGTTAACAAGAAATTAAAATAACAACAGTTTAAAAACAAATTACTTTCAGTAATATTTTCTCTAACTCAGAACATACGAAATATTGTCATCTCAAATTATGAACAATATAACAAACCACTAGGGAAGGATTGAATGTTCTCTTTCATACTGTATTCTGGAAATGCATTTATTTACTCTTATGACTCATTGCCAATCCTTATCACCAAATTTCCCTCGGAAATTGTTTGATCCGTGTGTAGATTTCCTCAGATTCAGTGCTGAAAAGGCAGAGTATAGATACTTCATTGTTTCGAAGATGTTTGCATTTTTCAGGGACCAAGTTAAACACTACATTCTTTTTATTTGGTAAAGTATCTGCTCCTTGTGTTCGCAGTCACATTCCACTCACTTGGTAGCCACAGACGGCAACCGGGTCACACACTGCCTAGCACAGACAGGTGGGGGTTCCTCACACAGACAGCTGGCAAGTTGGATATGAGGTAGTGTTTCTGCCATCTCCCTTGGCTGTTGAGAGTCAATGTATTCCTCAAATGAGATTTTTCTTTCTCCTTCCCTCATTGACGTTTGTTGACCTGCCCTGTCTGCCAGCTAGAGTTGTAGCTTGTTTTCTTTAACTTACCTCTGAGCATTTTTAACATTTCTGAATCTACCCACCCGTCCACCTGTCCATCAGCCCACCCATCCATGCATCTCAGCGTCTGTTGACTGAATCTCAGGTGCAAAGCCTCGGGGCATGTGGCCACAGTGACTCCCAGTGTCACCTCCCCACCTTCCTGGCTTTCTCAGCCTAGGTCACCCAGATTTCCCTGCTGATCTTGCTTCCACATGCTCTTCTGTCTCCTGCAGATGCCCCCAAGCCTCCTGCAGAGGACACGTATCTACACTTTGATGACTATGGGGGCACAGGGCGGCCCAGAAGATCCGCTGGGAAGTCACAAAAGGGTCTCAATGTCGAAACCCTCGTGGTGGCAGACGCGAAGATGGTGGAGAAGCACGGCAAGGGCGACGTCACCACGTACATTCTCACAGTCATGAACATGGTAAGGGCATTGCCAGGAACCCTCTCAATATCCCAAGATGCAAGCTTCCTTGTGTGGGTGAAATGGCACTCACTTAGACACAATTTTTTATTGTAAAATTTGAATTTTGAGAAATCACTCTATTTATAGATGCATATGTCTGGTAAAATTAAAGCCTACACCCTTATCAATATATCTGATTGATTCTCTCCATGCTGGATTGTATCTTTAAAAGATGTTTTCTGGCTTTAATTGTGTCAACAGGTTTCTAGCTTGTTCAAAGATGGAACCATTGGAAGCGACATAAACATTGTGGTTGTGAGCCTAATTCTTTTGGAACAAGAACCTGTAAGTGGCAAACTTCATTTATTCATTTGCTCTGCTGTTGAGAATGTATTTATTAAATACCTAGTATGCACTAATACATGAATCTCATATTTGAAAGTATGCCAACTATCTCCTCAGGGGAAGTACTGTCTAATAAGGATCATTGAGCTAAGTCACCACAAAATATATTTTATATAATAATCTAGAAAACTATTCATAGATGTGTCAGCAATTTTAAGTAAATATTAAATACATATATAACATTGTTAATATACAAAATGTAAAATATTCCGCTTAAACATGTAGTCCTTATGATAAAGGTGAATTTGGTCATAGATTTTAGCATTAATTGGATTTCATAGGTCAAATATATTAACTAATATTAAGGTGGATACATACGTATATTTTGAGAATTTACCAGAAGAAATCCATCATAAAATTCCTGTCATAAGTCTGTGGTCTCCCAAGCTCCAATTTAGGAATGCCAAAGAGTAAACAAGGGGCCTTCAACTGCCATGAATTGATTATGGCGAGGTACATGACCCAGGAATTGGGCAAATGGCAAAAACAGAACATATAATAATGTGTTAAATTGCACGATACTCCCTGCGCTGTAGTGTTTTGATCTGTAAGCTGTATTTTCCCCTATGATCTCACCAATCAGACAGATGATTTTTCAAAGCCCCTGAGGCTTTCCTCTTCAACTCTAACCCCAATAAAGAATGTGAAGAGCAGAGAGTCGAGACAAGGGGAAGAAAATGGATCTAATTACCCAGGTGTGTGGAGTTACAGAGGTTGGCGCTGTGTGAAGTTAACTTGGGATTTTAGAGAAATAGGGTATCTGTTGTTTGGGAAACAACTGGGCCTTGGTGTGCTAGACACACTCTGCTCAAGGATACTGATGCCAGCAGCACCCTGATTCACTGACAAAAGTCTTGTCTAAACATTTGACTTGACCCAAGTCACTGGTGTAGCCCAAGCAAACATTTTGATAAATGATTATTTTAAGAAAACTCTGTCTTTCTTTTTCTTCTTTTTTATTTAATGTGTGGGTGTTTTGCCGCATGTGTATATGGGCATCATGGCAGGGATGTACCTGGTACCCACAGTGGCCAGGAGAGTGTGCATGATCCTCCAGAATTTAAGTTATAGATAGCTGTAAGTCATGTCGTGGGTCCCCTGGAAAAGTAGCCAGTGTTCCTAACCTCTGAGCCACCTCTCAGTCCTGATCTCTAGTAAATGGTCACCATTAAGTAAACTCACAGTGTGTTATTGATTGCTTGTAATCCCTTAAGTACCAAACTTCACAGAGAAGTAAGATATGGATGCTATCTTTGTTATGCTTTATTGAAGAAACTATTGAACTTCAATATGAATAAATATATCAATATCAAAATGCTTTTTATCTTAAAATACTAAAAATTCAAGTTTACTTTAAAATTTCTATTAACCTAACTAGATTTTTTTTTTTTTTTTTTTTGGTAGAGTTTGGCTCCGTAGCTTTCCTCTACTGATAATTTCCCCTGGAAACACGGTGCCTCTGCATTTGCCTTCAGAGTCACAGAGATTCAACCTTCTTCAGGCACAACCACCACTTCCTAATCTCTGTGCCTTTTTCATAGGGAGGATTGCTGATCAACCACCACGCAGACCAGTCTCTAAATAGCTTCTGCCAGTGGCAGTCTGCCCTCGTGGGTAAGAACGGCAAGAGGCACGACCACGCCATCCTTCTCACGGGATTTGACATCTGTTCCTGGAAGAATGAACCATGTGACACGCTAGGTATGGTATACCCGGGTCTCTCATGCACACCTGTTAGCTGGAAGCGTGGGATGAAAGCTTTCCAGTGGATTTGGGGCCTCTGGAGTCCTGTGTACTCATGTGTCATTTGCTGCCTATGACACATTCTGAGAACTGTGTCCTTAGGAAATGATGTTGCTGAGTGGGTATCTTAGAGTGTACTTACACAATCTGAGATGCCTGGGACTACACTAGACACTGTCTTCCCATGAGACCACCATTATATAAACAGCCCGCTGTTGCCTGAGGTCACTATGTGGCGTGTGAATATATCTGTCTTTACATTGTGGAGTCGCTTCTTTGCTCCATGGTGAATGTGTTCTGCTTTACTGGATTCACTGTGGCATGGGGAGTCTGCATTTTAATCAATTGGTAATTTTCTTTATTGCCCAAATGGACGACCAATGAAGTGTGAGAGGCATTTAATTAAACACATTTTAGGTCATTCTATAAGCACCTGGCTTATAGAAGCTGGAGAAAAACTGTTGATGTCATGGTATCTCACTGTGTCACCAGTCACCAGTGTCTTCTTTAGCAAGCTCGTTGACTTTAGGTCTCCATTCACTCGTTTTTGGAAGAATGGAAGAATCTAGCATAAGATCAATATCTTTTACACACTTGCTGTATTTCCAAGCTGATTCACTTGCTAGTCGTAAGAGCTAGCCCTTTGGTTTTGGATGAATTGGGCTCTTCAGGTCAAGGTCTGCAAACATTTTCTGTGAAGGGTCCTGCACTAAATAGGTTGTGTGCTGCAGACCGGCTGATAATGACATCTGCAATGGGAATGAGAAACCAGGCACAGACAGTGCACAGCCCATGAGGGAAGCTTCGTCTAACGAAGTTACACTGGGGAGACAGCCGCAGACAGAAGTATAAACAAAGGCTTGAACACAGCAAATATGCCACCAGGGAACGATTCCTGATCTGCCCCACAGGTCACGCTCTTTAAGGAGCGTGTTGTACAGGCTGAAACGTTCACATTTGTCTTGTGAATCTCTAACCACGGAACTATACTGCCCAAAGCAAATTGAGTCACCTTCCTGAATCTCATATGCATATTTTGAAATTTATACACACACAAGCAAATGTTACATGTACAGTATAATATTAGGTATTTAGAAAGCACCATATATTAGAAAACACAAACCTTATATGTCCAAATCATAAATAGGACTGAGAGCAAGACTGGAAACAGTCAGCTAGACACCTACAGACCAAGTCAGCTACACTGTGAGCCACACAATAACCAAATACCCCTCCCTTATCTAGCATCTCTGTGAACGCTATCACTACACTCTTGCACTCTTAGCTCTGTCGTGTGGCATAACATGTTAGTTAAGTAATGATGATCCATGACACATATATGGCTGCATATTAGACTTCCTGGATGATTTTACAGCCTGATGGAGGTATATGCAGCCATTTCACAAGGATGTATTTAACTCTTACAGCCACAACTTTTGTTCTAATGGTTGTTAGATCTCAAAGTTGGGAAGAAGAAATTCTGCTGCTATAAGGTCGATCAAGATAGAGCCAATGAATGATGGGGGTGATTGTGTAACTGTTCTTGCAGGGATGTAACGTTGGAGAATGGGGCATTTGTCATTGTGAATGTGATCTGCCCATGTGACCTGGGCATGTTTGTGTCTCCTGCTTCAGAGAAAGATCAGGAGAAAACTGGAAAGCATATCCCACACTTAGACAGTAAGGCCACTCGTAAGTTAACGTTATACATTGGTGTAATGATCAGTATATCCATTTCTCTGACTCTAGTAACAAACTTAGGGAAGTCATATACATGTCTGGGACATTCAATATTCTTCTGCAAAGAAAGCTTAAATATGTTAATCTGCAAAACGGTATATGTATATATCCAATTACAGTTAATATTTAAAATTGATCTTCCAATAGGATTTGCTCCTATCAGTGGGATGTGCAGTAAATACCGAAGCTGCACCATCAACGAAGACACAGGACTTGGCCTTGCCTTCACCATTGCACACGAGTCAGGGCACAAGTGAGTGGCTTCTCAGTTTTCTACTTCCTATGGAAACTGGCTAAGTAATTCTTTGGCCTGCCTCTAATGATTATTATTGATCTAATCCAATACATGGGATTCATCTTGTATAAAGCTTCTAATTGTAGGCTCCAAAAAGGGCTTGGGGTCGGAGAGATGGCTCAGTTGTTAAGCTTTTGACACACACATTTATAGGCATGAGTTTGATCAAAATAAAACACGCAAATTAAAAGCCAAGTATGGCGGTGCATGCTTGTAATCCAAGTGTGTTAGTATTCTCAAATTCCAGGACAGTTCTATTGCTGTAAAGAGACACCATAGCTAATGCAACTTATAAAGCAAAGCATTCAATTGGGGGCTTGCTTACAGTCATAGAGACTTAGTCCATGATCAACATAACAGAGGCATGGCAGCAGGTGGGCATGGACCAGCAGTAGCTGAGAGCTTAGATTCTGATAAACAGGCTGAACTCATAGAAGGAACAAGACTGGGCCTGGTGTGGCCTTTTGAAAGCTCAAAGCCCAGTGACAAACCTCCTCCAACAAGGCCACACCTCTTAATTCTTCCCAAATAGTTCTACCAACTGGTGACCAAACATTCAAATATACGAGCCTGTGGGGACCTTTCTCATTCAAACCACCACACCCAGAAATATGGAGACAGCTCCCCAACCCTAATGCTAATCCTAACCCTAACTAGCATCTCCCTGGCAATCACTGACTAGACATCCTAATCTACTTGACGAATTCCAGGACAGTGAGAGACATTGTCTCAAAGCAAAACACACAAATAAAAAAAAAGTGAGCAATCTAAAAAGACTGATGTTCAAGGTTGTCTTCTGACTTCCATCATATGTACTCTCTCTCTGTCTCTCTCCCTCCCTCCCTCCTTCTCTCTCTCTCTCTCTCTCTCTCTCTCTCTCTCTCTCACACACACACACACACACACACACACACACACACCAGTTCAGTTCAGAAAGCACCAATCATTGCTATCTGTTTTTTCACATCATGTATTACATCGGTTGAGGTCTCAGGTTTGCAAATGGACTGCAAATTACTTATCTGACTCTTTTGTCATCTAAGTGTCTATTTTCGTTTGAGTTTTGCTTTGGCAAAGACACTTTAAACTCCTGCTGTTTTTTTCCCTTTGCGTAGTGAGCACATTCGCCGCCACTGAATCATATCCTTCCCCCCATTTTTAACTTTAATTATGTGGCAACAATCTCTCAGTACATTTTCCTTGCTGACCTTGAGTTTGTGACCCTCTTGCCTTAACCTCCCAAGTAGTGGGATTACAGGTCTGTGCCACCCAACCCTCAGAACAGGTCATTCTCTAAACAAAGCAAACTAATCCTGGTAACATGTAAATCTACCTGCCTAGGACAGTGGTGTACTGAACTCGGTTTTCAAAATACTGACTATGAAAATTTTAATCATTCGTGATTATGAGCAAAAGTTATCTGAAACCAAAATCTGATGTTTTGGTTCAGGAAAACAAATCATAGTCTTCAGGTAGGGTGGGAAAGGGGTGTCAGGAAAGAGAAGAATGGATGTAAGAACTGGGGAGAGAGATTAGTAAGGCTTTTGTTCTGCAAGCTTGAGGAACTGGGTTCGATCCCCAGGTACAGAAGTGCATGCTCGTTATCCCAGGACTGAGGGAGGTAGAAGTGAAAAGATCGCTGAGGCTCAGTGACTGCCCAGCCGAGTCCAGTTCTTGAGTTTTAGGCCAATGAGAAGCTCTACCTCAAAAACCAAAGGTGGATATCATCTGAGGAGCCCTAACAGAGCGAATCTTCTGGGTCTCCTACATCTGTGCGTATAGGTGTGCACATGCACACACAGGGAACAGATGTGAAATACATTCTTAAGATCAGATCTTGGTATGTGGTCCTTTGACATGAAGCTGGTGAAGCAGATAGGTGTTGAGATTTGCGGAAAAATAATCTTCCAAAAGGCTACTAAATTAAAGTACTTTCGAAGATGTAAAACTTTGAAATTCATAACTGAGTTCAAATTGGGTTCTTTTTTGCTCAAAAATTTTTAATGAGGCTCTAATTAAGCAGCCTTCCCTCCCTTAACAATGACTTTAATCTCCCTGCATCTCACTGGCTCTTCCGGAATTCCTGCTCTTCATTCATAGGCTTCAGCATATTTAGAAAGAATGTCTCCCAAACGAACACCCTCAACTCTCTGCTTAAGCAAAAAAAAAAAAAAAAAAAAAAAAAAAAAAAAAAAAAAAAAAATA